CTATTATTTGAGATTATACTATTTATTGACTAAGTTAATATATTTTTAGTACTTATTGTATTTTTGTAATTATTGTATTTTTTCATTATCAATATATTTTCAATAATTGTATATTTTTGCTATAAATTTTCAATAATTATTGGAGATTAAACTATTGTTATTTATCGGAGATGAGACTATTAACTTATCTGAAATTATGAGTGCTCATGAGTTGGTTTGGTTCGGTCGTAGGCTATTTGGCCAACCAAATTGACTTGGTTAGGTTGGGGAGTTGGTCAGCTGAAACTGATTGACCTTTTTTGAAAACCGACCCACTCAAACTGTATCGATTTCGGTCGATTTTTTGGTTTGGTCAGTCAATTCAAAAGATTTAAACTTAAAAATTAAATTAATTTTTAAAAAGTATAGTGTAATTATTAAAAATAAATTTAAAAAATAGATTTATGATATAAAACATTTTAGACTAAGAAATATGGGAAATTTTCCAATTTTCCATATTAAAAATTATATTTAAAATATAAAATATTAATATATCTCTATGGTTATGTCGTTCGATTTTGGTTGGTCTACAAATGGCCAAAGTGAAATTAATCCAATTTGGTCGAATTGGGAATTTTTTTAACCAAAGCCGACCTAAAATACTAGAAAACCGACCAACTGGGGTCGAGTTGATCGGGTTGGTCAGTTTCATGAGTTTGATGAATAAACCTAACTGAAATTAACTATTGTTATTTTTGTATTATAAAAGAATTATTAAAAGTAGTATATAAAAATGAATAATTATTAATTATTTAAAATTTTGAAATATAAAATAATTGTATATTCTTATGTGATTCTATTAGGGTCATTTACTATAACACATCTTATATTTTACATATTTACTTAAACCTATCTTATAGTTTTCATTTTATTAAAACATCTCATATATTTTATAACTTATTTATTTAATCAACCTTTCATTAAGGAGTGTTTGTTTTTCCATTAGGCCCATGATTTTTTATTCCAAAAATACCCTTAACACTTTTTTTGTACAGAAAACAAAATTAACCAAATATAGTCAATAGAGTGGTTGCACATGTCTAAGGGCAAAAATAGTATTTTTATTCTTATTTTCTTTTGATTAAATTTATTTAAATGAGCATTTGATTAAATCCATTGCAAATTATAAGTGGTGTTTTAATGAAATTTTAACTATAGGGTAGATTTTAGTAAATCCATGAAATTATAAGGGGTATTTTAGTAAATGACCATTTCTATTGCTTAACTTTCACTTAATAAATCCGGTGCATGGCATGGGTCCCCACTAGTGTTATACATAAAAACAAGCTTAAAGCAATAAATGTTAGAGGATATATAACAGCTATTAAACTCTTTGTGGGCTAACATTTCTTAGAACAAAGCAACCATAAAAACTATTTTCCTGCCGGTTCTTGATTCTGATGGCTCGACCATATGGTCCGGTCCGAGTTGGACCACATTTTTTTTCCCACTCAGTAACACCTCTCTGTTTTGTTGCAATAACCATCATAACATGGAATGTGCGAAGGGTAAGAATGTTAGAGAAGTAGGCCCATAGTAGCCCTTAATTGGATATTACAGATCTCTGAAACTAATATTACATCTTTGGTAAGATTAAACAGAACCCATTCAGCAGTAAATAATAGAACAATGTCCCATGGCTTCCCTGATTGTATTAATTCATTGATGCAGACATGACTTGGACAGAGAAGCAGTTGATGCAACCATGGACTCCGTCTTCTCTTGGATTCTTCTATTTGCTTCAGAGTTCAGAGTTCTAGCACCACAACTGTATAGACAAAGGAAAAGAGAAAAACTAAGTACAGAGAACAGAGATTGGATTGAACAGGAGATATCATGGAGACAATAGATAAGAATCTTACAATCTTCATCTGTTGTGATCCAGTTTCCTCTTCTGGAGGGCCGCCATTCTTCATCCTGGTTAGCTAATGTTGTTTTCTCCTTGTTGCAATCTGAAGTTGAAATGTCCTCAGATGTGGGACTGATCGATGTCCGACCATTTGTAGAAGATGCCAATGAGAACCCGGAGTAAACAGAGGAAGAGTTTGAACAACTGCCCACCTCCCATCTGAAACTGATCTTGGGAGAGCTTTCATCACCATGTTTGAGGGCGCCTCGGTTGCGGAATAACAGAACCTGTAACATGACAACAGTGAAGAACACCATCAGAAATCACTCTAGGACTAACATCACAGCCTCTGCTAAAGAATAACTCATTTGGGTCTTATTGGTGGGTAAATAACTTCTGTACCCATGAAGATAAACAAGTCAAAGGGAGTTTCATGGGTATGGTTAGAAGCTCTGTCCTTGATCTTGAAATTTGCAGATCTCCAGTTGGGGAGGGAGGGTCAGGCTAATTTGATAATTCTAACCAACCAACCCAAAGCTGAAGAAAGCAAAATTTTTAATTGAGAGGCATTGATATGTCTTGTTGGTCATTTTTTATTTAAAATCGTCATGATCTCTGTGCAACTTCTCATTGGAAACAAAAGATTAAACAAAAGCAGGAACGACTGGAAATCAGGAGAAAGGATGATCACCTTCCGGCTGATGTGCTTTCCTCCTTTCTCAGACTTGGCAGCAGAAGCCCATCTCAGAAGCTCCTTCATTCTAGAGATGGCTCTGGTTCTTTCTCCTTTAGGCTTATCTTTCTTCTCAGACGATCCACATTGGTCATTCATAGTAGTTGAGGCAGATGCAGGAGCATCACAGAGTGGTAGAACCTTATTCCCTACATGGGCAGCCAAATCCACCTTGTGACCCATCACAAGTTGGCGAGCAAGTTCTTCTTCTTTCAGTCTCAATGACTGCATCCAATTCTGGCCCTTGCCCAAACTCCCCAGTCTCTTCAAGTTAAGAGTGCTATAAAAGCATGCTTTTGCATTGCCTCTGCTATACAAAATTGTAAACGAATCTGAATCCTTCAGTTCCACCTCATCATCTTGGTATCCTTTTGATGATCTTCTTCTGTAAGCATCACTTCTTTTAACCAAAACCAGATCCTTTGATTCGGCTTTTTTCTTGACTGAAAGTGAAAATGAAAAAAAAAAGAAAGAAAGACATAACAGAGACCAGTCAGAGCTTATGCTTTTATTTAGATAGATATTGAGATGGTTTGCGAAGAAATTTTCTTCTTTACCTGTCCCAATTATTTCCTTATCTGTAGGAGTAGTCTCTCTGGGCTGTTGCTCTTGTGTCACCTTGAAGAGCCACTGAAAAATCTGTGGTCATTGCATTGAGACATCAGTCTCATCACAAATGCAATAGATAAACCAGATAACCAGGGGTCACGAGATTACAAAGCTCACCTGCATTTTTTAAGTGCTATATAGTGTGAGAAGACGGATGACTGATTGGTCAAAGCGCAGACAGCAGACCAAGTGACTCAGTTCTGTCTGTATTCTAAGATTCTTGTGTACTCTTTCAGGCTTGTGAAGGGAGGATGAAGACAGTGGGAAGTTGGACTGAGTCTAACAGAGATGGTGAGACAACCAGGCTGTGAGAATGGGGCCTATGGGGTGGCTGGCCTCTGATTCTCAGTCTCTAAGTGATTATTATATAAGGGTGGCCAAGTGGGGTTTAAGGGACTGAAGATTTAATTAAGGGAAGGAGTTTGTTCAGCCCTGGTGTCATTAATACCTACCATACACTTGTGGGGGTCAGTGGTTCATCCTTCTAGTGGTCCCAATCGATGGCCCATGCATCAAATAGATGCACTTGCCCCTAGGTTAGCTTGGAGTTGGATTTCTGGAGTCATCTGATTCAATTGGTCAGCTCTTGGGTGTTAGTAAAGGTATCTAGGGTTAAAAAGATAATAGCAAGTTGATTTGAAAGCTTTTGAATGATTTTCYCAATTGGGTGTTAGTTTTCTTTTCCACACATGGGCATTTACTGAATGATCAAAGATTCATCTAGAAGTTCACCATGTGTGGCTACAGTGTTGAATCAGTGGACATGGATAAGCTATATTACAAGCTTTTTAATTATGTACATATTCCCCCATTGTTTAGAGTGAAAGGAATTTTAAATCCTTTTTTGCTCCATGTCTCTTGGTCAAAGCGGATTTGGATCAATCCAAGCTTGAGTATATGGTTTTGTTCCTTGAGCAATGAAAATCTATATTGGTATTAGCAAGATAAATGACATGGCAATGGTTGTCATTTAAATGGTTTCATAATCACATCAGAAATTCAAATTCCTAGGCACTGAATTTGGGCATTTTGTGTTGAATGGTATGGATAGAGACTTCACAAATTACAACCCATGGATCTTATCCTCATTCTATTTGGGTTCCTTCATCTCTGGCCATTATGCCTTGGAAAAATCTGCACCATTAATTCCTCTCTTTTGCAACTATTTTATCCCTGTTCCCACACATGATTTTGCCCTTGAATGCAAAAAGTTAAGTCTATTATTCATGTGTTGATCTATAAAAATCATATTAATTGCCGACTAACCAAAATTATTTCCATCATTTTCTGCATATTAATATATTTACATCAAAGTACTTGAAAAAAAATTTAAAACCCAAGAGGGTATTTTACCAATTGACCAACACAGAGTGAGTTAGGAATATTGGACCAAGAAACCCTACTACTACTTCATTATGATGCCATGATGGGGTATGTGAGATAAAGAAATCTCCTCAAAAGGCTTATTTATCTGGTGTGGATTGGATTTGGCTGGGCCATACATTCCTTGGGTTGATGGGTCCGGATGGCACTGCAGCAGATCTTACATAGAAGCTTCCATGCATGTGGTCATTCATAAATTGCCAAGTGGGGGCTTTACAAGGAATGTGGCCTAGCACATAGCTACATCATCAGAGCACACAAACTCCTCTCTCTCCTTGTATATACTATGGGCAGTAGCTTGCCTATGACCGCGGATGATAAAGTGTAAAGTGAGAATTGGGTTTGCAAACAATTGCTCTAGCCCCAAAGTCTGTCCAAGTAGCTATGTCCTTTATAGTTTTTTTTTTTTTAGGGAAAATTATAGATCAGTATTTCTAAATTTTCAATTGCAATTAGGGGAAGTGAAACCAAATTTTTGCAATTTTCAGACTGTAAATTTCATCATGTAATTAGGAAGAGACTAGAGAGTGTGATAAGGCAGCCCATGTGCTTGCCCATCAAGCTATTTTAATGGGTCAATCCATTGAATGGAGAAGTAGAAGTATTCCTCCTGATTTTGTTGATTGTTTTTTGAAGGAGGGTGCCTATATAATAGTATAATTCTTCTTGTTGATTTTTTTTTGTGCAAAAAAATTCCTCCAATGTAAACTTGTTTCCACTTGCCCTTCAGTTTGGGTGAGGTCAAGCTTCAGGTTGGATCCATAAAAGGCTAGATCCAAACCCTAAAATATTCAGGTTAAGGTTGATTCATGGGTCAATGGTTCATTTGCCTGGGGCAGCTGGTTTTTATCAAGTCAATGATTTTTAACAAAAAAAAGTTAGATATAACAATMCGGTTCGAGCAGTTTGATTGTCTAAATCAATGCTGGTTTGAAAACATTGGTGTGAAAAGAGATGACCTGTGACCTGACCCGGCCCGACCCAATACAAATTCTTTTCAGGTCAAGTCAGGTCATGTCTCCTTCTAGTTCAGGTCATTAGATAGGAGACCCTAACCTGCTTTTTCTGGGTTGGGTCAGGTTAGGCTCATAGATTGGGTCAATTTTTTGCCAGATCTAAGTAGGGGTGATGATGGGCCAAATGACACTGGTCTTGAAATATAAACCAGTCGCAAGCCGGGACAAACTGATAGTGGCTCAGTTAGTAGGTATTATGGGTGGCACAGACTTTGGATTAAATCCTGCTGCCACCAGGATTGGGGAGTTATGGGTTTGGTGGATGGGCTACCCCCATTGTGTGGACCCACAATCGGTCTAAAAATGATAGTCCCTACTATAGCCAACCATATGAGTATATGACACAAGAAATCATGATTTTCAAAACCGGACGGGACTGGACAGTCAGACCAGAAAAACTGGGAACTGATCAAGTGACGGGTTCCGTTTTACCATAGAACCATTATTTCCCCAAAAACCATTGATTTGGTAAAAAAACCACTGACCTGGGTGGTTGAACCATTTGAACCTTTCAACAGTTTGGCCAGTTTTTATTATTTTTTTTAATTTTTTTTATCAGAACGGGCTATCTATTTGGTTCAAATGGTTAGACCATTCGACCCAAAAACCAGACCCCTGATCGGTTCGGTTTTAAAAACCTTGCAAGCAACCCGTCTTTTATTCTTTGATGGATAGAAACCCTTCTTTTGTGCAGCTATTTAAATTAAAATTTTTGAAACTTCAACTAGTGGTGTCAAGAGGATAAGGCTGGAAAGAAATCGAATTGAATCAGGTATCAGTAGATCTAAATTTGATTCGTTTATATTCAAATTCAAATAGGATCTTATTCCTCGTATTCAAATCAAATTGGGATTATAACAAATATTTAATAGTATTAGTAAATTAAATTAAAATGATCAAAATATTATATATTATTAATTAAATGGATTAAATGCTTTCATATTGTATTCTTTTGAATAAAATGTATTGAAAATTAATTGTATACAACGTAAACTAATGAGAACTTAGTAAAAATATAAATTCCAACCCATCTTTACTAATAAATACAATATAAATTTTAAGTATATATGATGAGTATTGTATTTAAATCAAATTGGACCGAAATGGGTTTGATTCAATTATAAACAGATGAGATTTGAATCACCCTTAATTGGATCGTTTCGAATTTGAATTCGGACAATCAGATACTAATTGCAGCCGTGAGAGGGAAGAAACTCAGAAAGTCCATCCGATACACAGCAGCAATTGCAGCTGATAAGGATAGAAGCATGAAAGATGAATGTCCAACTTGGCGCCCACTTGACAGGTAGTCACCGTCGGCCCCATCATCACTCCACGTGGCAAAACAGATGAATTTAGACAATCCTCTAACTGTCCATCTATATATATATGCAAACATCTTTGCGCAATAAATAAAAAATTAATGATCCAAATAAGTAAGTTGAGAGCATGTGGAGGGGATATTTTTGACAGTGAGGAGTGCAGTGTAGAGATGGATTTGTGTTGTGAACACAATATGAAAGGCCGTGGGCTCACATGGAAGCCAAAGCATATACACCAGAATCTTTCATATTTTAAGCACCAGAGGCCTAATTTTGCTCAGCCTGTCATGTGTTTGAGCTTGCCTTAACTTTCCCTTTCACAGGTTTTGAGGAGAACCCCGTGAGGTTACGTGGCACTCTATCATCCAGTTTAGTGCATTGCCAACGTGGCTCAATTAGATTCATTGGATCAAGAAAAAGGAAATGCCCTTGTTGAGAGAATTTAGGGAACTGTCTATTCTCTCTATAACTTATTTATATTGAGCCCTTTGTGGTGGGATTCTATTCCACGTTCAATCTCTTTCTTTCAATAAAATTTAAGGCATTTGTAGCAATTGAAATGGAGAAGAAAAATGTGTAATGAATGAATGTAGGATATAGAATTTAAGGCATTACTTAATTTGCAATTTGAGTTTTTTGAAATATTTCAAACAGTTTTGAAAAGTAGGGGAGATCAGTTAATTTTTCTAAAGCAAAACTGTGTTAGTGTAATTTACCCTATATTTTATTTATTTAATATAAAGTTCATGAAATGTTTTTTTCTAAAGCTCTAATTAAGCACAGAGGAAGACAACTTATCTTTGTTCATCAAGAAAAAAAAAAAGTTAATGGTGTTGATTTGGGCACATCCCAGAAGTCAAAATGACCTTAAAATAGTAGTCCAAAAACACTTAATATGGAAAAGGACTTTTTATATATCATGTGTCATCAAGGGTGCCTTCTGTCTTTTCAGAGGGAACAGATGTGCCCATTTTAGAATCTCATTGTTGATTGTCAAAACTGAGGGTCCAAACTCTGTTTGGTTTGCAGTTGGAGTCAGAATCAGAATTGGAGTGTTTTCATAACTTTTTGGCTCAGGCAGGAATTGGAATTGAACTAGGAATCAGCTGGAATGGGATCTCGTTCTCAAGGGAGGGGACCATTCCTTCAAATGAGGAAAAACAATTTTATCAGGAATGAGAATGGGATTTCAATTCCGCCCAACCCAATGGTTAGACTCTAATTCCGATTCCAAACCCCTATTCTTGCAAATCAAACGGGCCCTGAATTATAATGAACTAATCCCATACAGTAAGGAAATTTAAAGTAAATACAAGTTAGCTAGCCATGACAAGAACAAGCAACCACATTCTCTAGTCCAATTAGGTTAATTAATTGAGGGGATGTGGCAGGTAGAGGAGTTAACTAGGCAAGGATCATCAAGTGAAAAAGACCCTAGTCAGGTTGTTGTAGCAGAGAAGGAGCAAGTTAACCCATATTATCTTCTCATGAAACCTTGTTAAGATGAATTCACATCTGCGCCCCACGAAGGGGTCCCCACAATGCCCCACAGCAAATCCCCACCTTGTATTAAGAATATTTTCCAATGATGTCTCATCATCTTCC